GAGTGTGGATGGGAGAGTTGGAAGGGGTCGACCTCAGTGAACGTACCTCAATCAGACTGAGGACATTTTTAGCAAAGCCAGTTTAGTAGTACCCTAATTAAGTTAATAACAATGTACCTACCTATATAGTTTAAGTTTAAAAAATTTGGCTCTCAAAATAAATTTCAATCGTTGTACTGCTGATATTTGGCTCTCTTGACTAATGAGTTTGCCCACCACTGACCTAGGTCTACAAGTAAATCTAGAAAAGTCTCAACTTCAACCGGTCTAGAAGATACATTACATCGGTGCACTACTGGACCCCACGAATTGCACGGCTTACCTGCCACAAAACAGAGCGACTGACATTATCCACCTAGCCACTGTCGTCTGTTCCCGACCTTCAGTGACGGCCTTTCAAATACAAAGGCTACTCGGCCTTATGGCTGCTACTACATCAATCCTGGTCTTTGCCCAATTAAAAATGCGTCACCTACAACTATGGTTTATCCGCAGTTTCAATCCAAAGGAAGACACACACACCACCCTCCAGATCCCACTTGCCAAAGTATGAGAGTCTTTACTTTGGTGGACTGTCCCTTCCAATCTGTTCCAGGGAGCACCCTTCCATCCTCCATCACCCCAAATGACCCTAACAACAGACGCCTCCCTCTCGGGCTGGGGCGCCCACATGATGGGACTTTGTGTCGGAGGCAGATGGGACACTCAAAAACGAAAGCGGCACATAAACTCCCTGGAACTGCTTACGATACAGTTCACTGTCACCAGTTTCCTGCCCCTCATCGAGGGGAAATGTGTCACGGTCCTCACAGACAATACTACTGCCCTCAGCTATGTGAACAAGCAACGGGGCACCGTCTCCCAATGCCTCTGCGATCTTGCCCTCCAGTTATGGGACTTCTGCATTACCCACAACGTCTTCCTAATCGCCATACACATCCCAGGTCACATGAATGTGCAAGCAGACCACCTGAGTCGGGCAGGACTCAGTCTCCACGAGTGGGAAATGAATCCAATGTACCTTCTTCCACTCTTCTGCAGGTGGGGGTTCCCCCAGATAAATGTTTTTGCCACCAGGGCGAACAAAAAGTGCCCTCTGTTCTGCATCCAAGGTGGCAGGGACCCACAGTCTCTAGGGGACAGTCTCCTCTATCCGTGGTCCAGAGGATTTCTCTACCTCTTCCCTCCACTGCCTCTGCTCCTGAGAGTGGTCCACAAGATCATCAGCGACAGAGCGGACTGCGTCCTCATAACCCTGTGGTGGCCAAGGAAACCATGGTTCTCAACCATCCTCAATCTGTCAGTGGGGGTCTACCACCAGTTTCACCCAGCACAAAACCTCCTGTTCCTATTCAGGTCCCCTCTCCTATACCACGACGTGCCACGAATGAAGTTGACAGCCTGGAGAGTAGAGTCAACAGCTTTTCCACTTGCATAGCAAATGTCTTGCTGAACTCCAGAAAGTCCACTATGCGAAAGTCCTATCATTACAAGTGGCAAAAATTCTGCTCCTCTTTGGGTGACGATGCCCCTTGAGCCACCTCTGCAGGTCTCGAGAAAGTTTTCGAATTCCTCCTGTCTCTCACTGACTCGGGACTTTCACATTCCTCGTTAAGAGTTTATTTGACCGGACTTTCGGCCTACCATGTTCAAGTTGAGGGGTGCACACTGTTCTTGCATCCACTTTCAAAACATTTTTTGAAGGGACTGTTGCACCTTTACCCTCCCATCAAAACCCCTGTCGTCCCCTGGGACCTTCCCCTGGTCCTTCGCCAACTCACCAGGAAACCTTTTGAGCCGCTTGCAACTTGTGACCTAAAATTCCTGTCGTGGAAAACAGACTTTCTGGTTGCTGTCACTTCAGTGAGGCGAGTTGGAGAAATACTGGCTTTCAGACATGACACTCCTTACTTGTCTTTTTTGCCAGATGGTGTCCACCTCATACCTGACATCTCGTTCCTGCCAAAGGTAGTGTCAGAATTTCACCTACAGGCAGAGGTCTTCCTCCCGGATTTCTTCCCGGCGCCGACATCCTCAAAGGAGAGGTTGTTACACACCTTGGATACGAAACGTGTGCTTCTGTTCTACCTAAACAGAACCCGTCCAACGAGATGTGACTCTCAACTTTTCGTCTCCTATGCGCCAGCAAGGCTGGGGACTCACATCACGGCTCAGCACCTATTAAGGTGGATTGCGGGTCTCATCCACCTCTGCTACCTTATCGCCAAACAGCCATTGCCTGGCCCTATCAGGGCTCATGCAACCAGAGCTGTTGCAGCCTCAACTGCCTTCCTCCAGGGAGTTCCCCTGATGGACATTTGCAGAGCTGCTACGTGGGCTACGCCTAACACCTTTATAAGGCAGCTACGTGGGCTACACCTAACACCTTCATAAGGCACTATGCTCTAGACGTCCGAAAGAACTCTCGTACCAACATGGGACATCACATCTTATCCTTGGGTTTGCAGTAATGACCTGCCAGCACCCTCCTCCAGGTAGGCCACTGCTCGCTAATCTCCCATGGGTGTGAAGCACAGAGACCATGTCGAAGATAAACAGGTTGCTTACCTGTAACTGGTGATCTTTGAGTGGTCATCTGTGCATTCACACCACCCGCCCTCCTTCCCCGCTGCTGTCAGCTTCTACATTTTCCATAGGGGTTGATTTGCGGCGGTTCGAAGGAACTGGCGGGATGTCCGCGTCCACCCCTCTGGGCATGTGTGGTGGGGTTCCTGCACATGCCCGAGGTCTGAGTGCGAAAATCCGTTAAAGAGCTTGCTACAATGCCGATCGATCCAGCGCGTGTGCACTGTATCCCCATGGGTGTGAATGCACAGATGACCACTCGAAGATCATCAGTTACAGGTAAGCAACCTGTTTTTACTGTGTGCCGCCCTGAGCCTGCCATGCGGGGAGGGCGGGATACAAATCTAATAAAAAATAAATATATAAAACTGCATTTTTTTGTTTTAATTAATGCGTTTGCTAAACAAAACTATTGTACTACCGAAGAGCACAATCTACATCTTCTGGTTATGCACTACACAATTATTTCTGCCTAAACACTAGAGGGGCAATCACAGAACACATTGGAGTTCTGTTCGGCTGTGTGTTCATGTTCAAGAATGCTAAGCACGATCACTTGCTTAAAGACTGGGACCAAAATCCAAACCACTGATAGAAGTATTGGTTTGTGGGCCAAGTGTCCAGAATTTTGCAGAAGCAAAGGGGTAGAGGCAAAATGTGTTTCCTGTAAGAGTTGGAAAGTACGGTGTCCACACTGGTTCAGTAGTCATAAATATTCACGGATAGTTGCGTTAATACAAACATGACTGTTTATATCATGAGGGCCAGTGTGTTGTTGTGATTAGTGTCAGACAAGCATCTGTAAAACCCTGGTTGGAATCTCCACTTTGCCATGGAAGATTGCTGGGTGTTCTTGGGCCAGTCACACATGTTCTGCCTAACCCACCTCACAGGGTTGTTGTAGGGGCAAAATGGAGGACAGAACAATGTAGACCTCTTTGGATTCCCATTGGAGAGAAATGAATGTAAATAACTGTTCATTGTCTTTTGTGGAAGGTTTTATGATTTTTAATACTGAATATTTGTTTTTAAAATAGTTGTTCACTACATGGGAAACCCCTGTGAAGCTGAAAGGCAGCATATAAGTTAACTAAATGATGTTGTTTTTCCTTTCACATGAAAAAGTCTGTATATTATTGCAAGGTCATTAACAGACCACTGTAGAATGTAGCACTTGTATTGGTTTCAGATGAGTTCTGAATTTATTTTTAAGTGACAACAAGCTGAAATTAAAAAAAAATTAAATTTGATTCGGTTCCCCATTTTTTACCTAGTTTGATTCAGATCAGGCTGGGACAGTTGATGGGTGATTCTACGTTTCTTTTGTGCACTGCCCACACATGCAGATTGTTGTTTTTAGTAAAACTCGGTCACTGGTGAACACCTGAAGCTTCCTTATGAATCAGGGCATTGCTCCATCTCTCCCTGTATTGTCTGCTCTGTCTGAGTCCAAGCAAAGGTCTGTTGCATCTCCTGGTATGTTAACTGGAGAGATCAGGGATTGTTCCCAAGACCTTCTACCTACAAAGTGTGTTCTTGGACACTAAGCCATCTCTCATCCCCTTGGAATTAGCTTAAGAGACCCCCTCGATTCCTCCTCTTCCCCGACTTTTCCATTGCCGATTGCATGTTGGTTTCTCTTTATTATTCCAGGTAATCCTCAAGGACCTTGAAGTCTTGGCTGAGATTGCGTCCTCTCCTGCTGGGCAGACGGAAGGCCAAGGGCCATGTGATGGCTTTGAGACACAGCCGGGGCAGCTAGAACTTCACGTTCCTGCTCCAACCAAAACGGGCCAGGCTGGCTCCCCTGGTGAGTTCCCTTGCTTTGGTAACCCTTCTGGCAAAAAAAAAATCTAGCACGAAAAGCAGCTTCCTGGTGCTTGTCTTCATTTTTTCTTGGTGCAGAGTGGTCCACGATGGATTTTATTACCCAGAGGCAAATGGTTTCAGGGGAGAGAACCTAGCATGGAGGCATGCAGTCCTTTTCTCTGTTCAGAGATTCAGCCGCCTAAAGCAGTCCAAATCTTTGTGCTGTATCTTTGTAATAGACTGAAGAGTGGCTTGTACGTCAGAACAGCAGTCTTCTTATCCCCCCCAAACTAAACTAATGCAGAAGGTTGGGGAGGGGTGGAGGATGGGAGCTGAAGCAAGGAAATCGTTGTACTGTTAGCAAGAATGTGTGTCGGCATGGACAGGGTGATATTGACAGTCAGGGAGTGAGGAGTTTTGTTGCTCGCTGGGCTCTTAAATCCCACTTGATCTTAAAAGTAAGGTGCTGGCCCTGGCGACCACAGGGGGAAGCTGGACAAGGAAGAACTTGTTGGCACCATTATTTTGTAATCAGAAGAACAGTGGAACCTGGAACTGTTAGGGAACTTGTTGGAGAACCGCACTCAAAGAGTAGTTGTCAGTGGTATTTCATCTGAATGGAGGGAGGTGTCCAGTGGGGTGCCACATGGCTCGGTTCTGGGCCCAGTACTTTTCAGTATTTTTCTAAATGATCTGGATGAGGGTGTGGAGGGGCCACTCATTAAATTTGCAGATGACACCAAATTGGAAGGAACAGCAGACCCACCAGAAGACAGAGATAGAATTCAATGAGATCTGAACACACTGGAAAAGTGGGCAGATGTGAACAAGATGCAATGTAACAAGGATAAGTGCTGAGTTCTACATCTGCGTAACAAAAATGAGGACCACACATACTGGATGGGGGATACACTCCTGGGCAGCAGTGTGTGTGAACAAGATCTTAGGGTATGGGTGGACCATAAGTTAAATATGAACAGCCAGTGTGATACGGCAACAAAAAAAGGCTAATGCAGTCTTGGGGTGTATCAACAGAGGCAAAACATCCAAATTGCAAGATGTCATAGTCCTGCTGTACACTGCATTGCTCAGGCCACACCTGGAGTATTGTGTGCAGTTCTGGAGGCCTCACTTCAAAAAGGATGTGGATGGAATGGGGCAGGCGCAGAGCAGAGTGATGAGGATGATCGGGGGCCTGGAGACCAAGCCCTGTGAGGAAAGGCTGAGGGACCTGGGAATGTTTAGTCTGGAGAATGGGAGGTTGAGGGGGGACATGATTGCTCTCTTTAGGTATTTGAAGGGCTGTCACTTAGAGGAGGGCAGGGAGCTGTACCTGTTAGGAGAGGATAGGAGTTGCAATAATGGGTTTAAATTAAGGGTGGGAAGGTACCAGCTGGATAGTAAGAAAAAATCAGCTGCCTAGGGAGGTGGTGAGCTCCCCCTCACTGGCAGTCTTTAAGCAGCGGCTGGACAAACACTTGTCAGGGATGCTCTAGGCTGATCCTGCATTGAGCAGGGGGTTGGACTAGATGGTCTGTATGGCCCCTTCCAACTCTGTGATTCTGGTTCATCAGCAGAAATTTGCCAGCAGTCTGAGTGTAAAGAAAACTGAATGCCCAAAGTTTTACAGCGAGTCTGTATATTTTTTCCACAGATCAATCCCATTGTTGTTAGGTGATTATTGTATTTGTAGGGAATGCCTCCATGAACTTTGAAGAATTTGAGTTTTGTAAGCCACCTTTGTGCAGGTGCCATGGAGAGGTGGCATAGAAATTTTTAAAAATAGCTTTCTCTGAGCCAGTGTCTAAGGATATTCCTTTCCATAACTACAGGGGAGGTGATGGAAACTCTGATACTGAAGCCTTGAGCTCTGGAAGGTCTGGATGTGGGCAAAGAAATGTAAACAGTCAAGCTGAAGGTGCTGTGATTTGGGTGGTAAAGCTAACTTTGGACTAGGTGCACAAGCTGCATGAGGCTTTGCTCTCCAAAGAGGGGGTTTACGGCTGGAGGGTTCTCCTGCACTCCTCACTTTTTGATGTAATCCAGATTGGACTACTGGAGCATTCTGTATGTGGGGTTGCTTTTGAAGATGTGTAATGCTGTGTAATGCTGTTGAAGTTGTGTAATGCTGTGTTCAGGCTGATGTCTGGAACCCTGCTTTATGAACACCACTGGCTTGTTGCCTGATCAGTTTCAAAGCGCGGTTAAAGCCTTAAAAATGGTGGATCCAAAAGAGCTGAGGGAATGCATCCAGCTGGGCCCTGCTAAAGCGGCTCGCTTTGTAAGATGAAGTTTAACAGGGACCCAAGAGCGCTTTCCCTGCACTCACCTCCAGGTTGCAGAGCTTCCAGGTTGCAGAACTTCCTTCCCCCCAGAAGTGTGGTTGGTAGTGTTACCATTCTGGTGGGAAAGTGCACTCCTTTCCAAGAGGGCCTTTGAAAGGTGATCTTTTATCTGCCATTGTTTTAGATGTTGGACTTTATCACAGTTGGACTTCTTTTATTGCTATTTCTGATTGTGTGAGTGCCTGCTGGTTTAGCTGCTGTCCTTGTTGTATCTATGGGAGTCTTCCTGAGTGGGAGCAGAACCCATAACTCCTGTATTTCCAAAACTGAGGTACCAGGACCAGGGGTACACAACATGTCACACTGTCGGTGCCGTTCTGCCCACCGACATGGTTCCTGGTGTCCACCAAGTGTTTCTAGAAAGTGGGTGAGGCCAGATGGGCCTCTTGCTGAGCAGGTCTTCTCATTGGCCACTAGGGATCTGATTGTCTGTGCAGGTGAGGATAACGTTTCAGTGGTCTGAAAGGCTTCAGTTCAGAAAGCTAGTTTGGTGTAGAGGTTAAGTGCGCGGACTCTAATCTGGGAGAACCGGGTTTGATTCCCCACTCCTCCGCTTGCACCTGCTGGATGACCTTGGGGAAGCCATAGTTCTGGCACAGCTGTTCTTGAAAAAGGGCAGTTTCTGTCAAGAGTTCTCTCAGCCACACCTCCCTCACAGGGTGTCTGTTGTGGGGAGGGGAAGGGAAAGGGGTTTGTAAGCCACTCTGAGACTCCCTTGGGTAGTGACGGGCGGGGTATAAATCCAATCTCCTCCTCCTCCTCCTCCTCCTCCTCCTCCTCCTCCTCTTCATTCTCTCTCATTTCTCTGGCCCAGTGTATTTTTTTTAAAAGTACCCCTCTTCTCCCCTGCATTTAGACTTCCTGATTTGGCTCCACCTTAGGGTTGAATCATACAATCATAGAGTTGGAAGGTGTCCAGGATCATCTAGTCCAACCCCCTACACAAGGCAGGAAATTCATAAATACTTCTCCCTCCACACCTATAGTGACCGCTGTTCCACACCCAGAAGATAACAAAAAACCTCCAGGATCCCTGGCCAAACTGGCCTGGAGAAAATTTGCTTCCAGACCCTAAAGTGGCGATCAGCATTTCCCTGAACATAAGAAGATAAGAGATGCCAATGTTGGATCAGGCCAAAGGCCCCTCCAGTCCAACACTCTGTATCACACAGTGGCCAGAAATACCAGTGCCATC